ACTTCTCTTCATTTTCTGTTTTGTAACTGGGTTAATTTTCAAAGAAAGTATTTTTCCAGGGATTTGAAGTTTTCGCCAATAAAGATTTGAGGATTTGCCTATTCAACCAGATCATCTCCTGTGATACCTGGGAGATGTTTTTAAAGCTCTCATGGCTCGTGATCTGTTAATTAGTGTAGCTGTTACTCATCAGAGGCCGGAGCTTGCATCACTGGGCTTGTGAGATTTGGCTGGTCACATCGTCATGGGGACAGCAAACATCTTGTGCTCCTGGTGGGACTGGCCCATGGGTTGTGAAAACAGAGGTTCACGTGGCATTTATCCAGAGAGATGGTCTCGATCTGAGATCTTCGAATCCGTAAGGATTCAAAAGTGATTTTAAAATGATCTGTCCGTGTTTTCGTTCCTTTTGCTGGAGAGAAGATCGTAGCTCCCGCTGTACTTTCAAAAGCGGTTGCTGATCCAAAATGGTGTAGAGCCACTGATTTAGAGACTTCAGGGCCTTTCAGGTCACAGGGGAGAACGTCAAACCCTGAGGTGGGGGGCTGCCGACCCAGGCAGCCTCTTGGCCTATGCCCGCTAGACCCCTTTCTACTTTCGCTCTGTGATACAGTGTGTTGGGACGAGAATCATGTCCCTGTTTGGGAGAGAGAGGAAACCAGGAGACAAATGTGTCACATAAGGTCGCCCGTGATTCAGTGGGAAGGTGAGCCTTGGACTGGTCCCTCTGTGCCACCGTGGTTCTCATTCTCAAATGCAGCAACGCGGTGCCCCTCTGGCGAAGATGAAGTCAGGGCAGGGGGAGGGGCAACAGGATGGGCCCAGCGGAGGGTCCTTCTTTGTGTAGATTCTTAGATGCTTGAGTTTGAATTCCAAGAAAGGTTTTTCGATGGCGATCCACTTCAACGTGGTTCCTTTCTTCCTTCCTGAAGGAATTGTAATCCCAGCTTTCACGCTTGACGTTACTAAATATTTCCTACTTATAGCTGCTTTACACTTAGAAACAGGCCTAATGGGTCAAGAAACTCCGTTTTCATGCAGCGTTTTTAGGTCCGTCTGTGAGTGGGAATGGTGGTAGATGCGAGAGTGCCCCTGAGCCTTTTCCGCCTCTGCTGTCACTCAGTGTCAGCTGACTGGACCCTTTGCCACCTAAACATCTCTGCGCTAGACATCTGTGATTGAACAGCAGGCCTAATGGGTCAAGAAACTCCGTTTTCATGCAGTGTTTTTAGGTCCGTCTGTGAGTGGGAATGGTGGTAGATGCGAGAGTGCCCCTGAGCCTTTTCCGCCTCTGCTGTCACTCAGTGTCAGCTGACTGGACCCTTTGCCACCTAAACATCTCTGCGCTAGACATCTGTGATTCAAGCCCCTCAACGTCCCTGCAGTGACCGCCCACTCCGCCTCTCCCCTCCCAGTCAGCCACGGACCAGGTTAGGAGGCACCTTCTGGAGGCCAAGGACCTCGGCCTGGCCCCTAAGCCCCCCTGGAGGGCTGTGTGGCCTGGGACCAGTCACTCC